CTTTAGGTCTCTGCTCATTATTATTTTTACTCCTAAAATATCACTACTATTTTGATCAATAAAAAAATATATCACAACTATGATAATATGTATAATTAACTATGTTTTAGTTGAATTTATGAACTGTTACAGTTGACCCCGTAAGTGGGGACATTTGTAACAAGTGCACGAGTGTCAAAAATTGTTAATAACTAATATAACATTTAAAATAAGGTATTTATTTTTTTTCTAGTATAGGATAGTCTACTTTACTCGTCTGTCAATTAGTACTAATAATATATTGGACTTTTTGTTAGTTAAAAATAGTTAAGTAAAAAATGTTACAATTGACCCCACTGTCCCCTACTATAAAAACTTCGGATATAGGATATAGTCTTATAACTTCAGAAAGTAATAATATTGAATTTTTATTGAAAAATACATTATAATATAAATAAATGTTCATTTTAAGTTTTAACAAATATTTTATTTTTTGAATATTTATATGAAATAAATAGCTGCTCATTAAAAAAATTCTTCTGACTTTCGATGAATTATTTTACTTTTTGGAATATATTTTACTGTAATTTTGATTTCAGAGAGAGAGAGAGGGAGAAAGAAAATGTTTGTTTAATAAAAAATAAAATAAAATGCATAATAAAATTGAACAAAAAAACTACAAAGATGAATTTGACAAGCACTTTAAGTTTTTCCTAACAATTTTGAAATGAAAAACATAGAAAAAGTGAATAACAAACTATAAATCTGACGACTGATAATTTTTTAAAGATAATTTTCATGTTACCTCCGACCTAAATAAAAATAAAAATTTAAATTATTTTTAGACCTTACAACGAAAAATACAGGTAAAGAACAGCATAGGGATTTTTTCTAAGTTAGTCAGTGTTCTTCACGTCATAGGTTGATGACTTTTTCAAGTTAAATTAAACAAATGATGCAATCTCTACCTATTGTTAATTTAATGCAAGAGATTTTGCAGTTAAGAAAGGATTTTCTCTTTTAATCTCATAATTGGACTGTTGGTCTAACACTTCACTCCTCGCGATGAGATCAGGGATTGTCTTAAGACTTTACTATGCTCTCTGACTCACATACATTAAATAACTGGACTTTTCAGTTTTGGACTAAAGGCGTTCTTAGGCGTTCAACTTCAATATATTTGTTAAGCGTATTAGTTGTTAACCCGTTGCATCATAGCGATCTTCAACTTCAAATGAATCATCAACTTCGAATGAATTCCCCATTACTTAATTAAAAATTTGCTAAGTGTCAACCTTATGTTAGGGATAAACCAACTCTCCAAACTTTCGTGTTGCAAGTTCTTTATTCTTTTTTTAAAATT